GATGCTTCAAGGGTGCTTCACGGGTGTTTCACGGGTCGCTCACGGTACAAAATCAGTTTTTCGGGTCTCTAACCCAGTTTTTTGTGTCTCTAACACACTGGTCTCACGGGTGGTTCACGGGTGGTTCACGGGTGGTTCACGGGTGGTTCCCAGGTGGTTCACGGGTGGTTCATGGGTCGTTCACGGATGGTTCAAGGGTGTTTCACGGTTTGTTTCGGGTTGTTGACGGGACCTTCACGGGCTGTGGGCAGCTGTAAAGGGCGATTGCAAACAATGAAATTGATATAAATTGATACCAAGAGCCCTGGAACTCAACCAGTTGGGAGAATGATTTGCAGTGATTTGTCGATAAAACGCATTTGTCCACTGCATCAACGGAGCTTTAGTAAAAATTAGCTCAAGTAAAGTACGTTCTTTTACAAGTAAAACATGTTCATTGAAACGATCAAGTTTAACGAGGTCTTTGGTTCGCGGGGATAGATAGATAGATAGATAGATAGATAGATAGATAGATAGATAGGATAAGATAAGATAAGATAAGATAAGAATGGATAAGATAAGATAAGATAAGATAAAATAAGACAAGATAAGATAAGATAAAATAAGATAAGATAGACAGATAGACAGATAGATAGATAGATAGACAAATAGATAGACAGATAGATAGAGAGATAGATAGATAGATAGATAGATAGACAAATAGATAGATAGATAGATAGAGAGATAGATAGATAGATAGATAGATAGATAGTTAGATCGATAGATAGATAGGTAGATAGATAGATAGATAGATAGACAGATAGATAGATAGATAGATAGAAAAATAGATAGATCAAGATAGATAGAGAGAGATAGAGAGAGATATAGATAGATAGATAGATAGATAGATAGATAGATCGATCGATCGATCGATCGATAGATCGATAGATCGATAGATCGATCGATCGATCGATAGATAGATAGATAGATGGATGGATGGATGGATGGATGGATGGATAGATAGATAGATAGATAGAATAGATGGATAAATGGATAGATAGATAGATGGATAGGGTAGATAGATAGGGTCCATCAGTGGCTTCGCTCTGCCATCCGTGACTCACAACAACCAACCTCTCCTATAAGTTTCCTATTTTTGAAACTTCCGCCACCGCCTTGTACGGTACTACTGGTATTATATTGATGTTAAACCAACTCAGCTAACTATGGGAAGGCACTTGGCAGTTTTAGTCCCACTAACAAGTGGCATGTGTATATATATATATATAGTATCCATAGTTGTGGCGGTCATATCCCAACTTATGGAGGTAAAAATTCTATACTTAGACCCATAGCTAAAATCTGATAGTGTATAGGTTATATCCCATAGTGAGTCCATGCGTATGGAGGTTCTTACACCTTGAATTCTCCAATTTATACCTATTTTTTCACCCCTCAGCTGCGTCCCCCCAGAGTTACATTCATTAGTAACCACTAATAGCCGTGAATAATCATTAATTATATATTACATACGTATATATAAGTCACATCAACCAATATATACCAATATGAAAACTATGAATCAATGCCAATGCGGTACTGTCCAGTTATGGGCGCTGCGGTTACTCCCAAGTGGCCAGCTTCAGCAGCAGCAGTTCCACCGGCAGGAGATCCTGAACTTCGTCGATGTACACCCCGAAGAACCTGTTCGGGGCGCTTTCAAGGAGAAAAAGAGATAACAAAAAGGGACCAACTATAGAAAAAACAATGGGTTTTCAATGGTTTTCAGATTCATGTTGACTTATGCCTTTTGATGACTTATAAAATCAACAAATTATAAACAGTATATATATATATACACTAATATAAATTCCAAATGCCTGGGCCGAAGTCAAGTGAGTCAGTCAAGTGGCATTCGAATCGACTTGAGCTTAAACTTTTCCGCTCGCTTTAGCAAATCTCGGGCCACATCCGTGCAGTCGTATTTGTGGGTGTCCTGCAGGAGCCCGCACGGCTGTAACGGTTGCCATGTGCCGTTGGGTCCGATGTATAGCACACAAACATAATAATTATGAGAATATGAACTATATATAACTACAGTATATGTGATATGTGTGTATCGATGTTGTTGGCTATATACGAATGAATCTAACAGTCAACAACCAACAATATTCAACAATGAACCAACAACCAACATCTCCTGTTTGAACTTCCTGTAGACCTCGAAGGCGGTGTAAATCCTCTCACCTTGTGCTGTGATCTGCCAGTCCAGAACGGCATAGCAGCAGTGATATGGGCAGCACCCCATTTGAGATTTATTTTGACTTCCAGAATCACCTTTGATCATTTTAACGTTGAAGAACCCCACACTATTCCAAGATCTCATTCAACTTATAACTGCATGGTGGTCATTTCCTTTTGGAAACTTGAGACGGGCTGGGACTGCTCCGCTTGAATATGCTGAGTCAGGCACCAACTAACAACTACCACCTTTTTAATGTAAGACAAAGAGGTGTCAAAACCACAGCAAAGGCAGTTTGATTCAGGGATGATTATCTTTACGTTTATGTTGTTTCTTCTCTGGTTCGTTTTCTGATGATTGTTGCTCCCACTGTCTCTCACTGGTGTTTTTTTAGGGGACCCCATTGTAATTATACAGCATCATTGCCCCCATTTTCATTTTCCCAACTTATGACAGGGGTTTAACAGTGATTCTAAGTCGGAGTTTTTTTTGCCAACAAGTTCTTCCATAGTACTCCACTAACTTGGAATATCATCCACTAACTGGGATGAACCATGGATGAAGCACCAGGATGAACCATGGATGCCGTTGCCGTTGTCAGAGGCACGTCCCTGCTCCGACTTCCGATACGCAGAGTCTTTGATCTCAGGCCTTGGACTTTGCCACGGTCAAGTCTCTGAAGACATGGAAGAAATGCGACTTTTGTTATGAGGATTTAGTGGGTGATTGATGGGATTTCATGGAACATAATAGGGTTTAAAGGGGGTTAATAGTGTTTCATGTGATTTAGTGGGGCTTTTAATGGCTTTGATGGGATTTAAGGGGGTTCAGTGGGACCTTATGAGATTTTAAAGGATATACGGTAACTAACCGACTAACTGACTAGCTGACAATTTGATACAAGTAGATTATTCTGAAAATGGGGTAACGCCCCAAACTTGAAAAATGGCAATGTTAATAATAGCGCAAAACCTGTGATAGTCAAAGTTGATCAAAATTGCCCGCCCTATTTTCGGAAAGACCCGTATAGGAAAGTAACACCAGTTTCTGGATCCATATTCATCCCGAAACCTAAGACATACATCTTGACTTTCTATTCATCTCAGTATCACCCAAAGATATCTGAACATATTCTCAGTTCCATGGATTCAGATATGGTTAGGTATATCCCATTAAACTCCATTCATTCCCATTAAACCCATAATTTAGATCCCAATAATTGCCATGAATTGCCATGAAATCACCATTATCAAACCCCATGAAAATGTCACATGGATCCAGCTGGTTCCAAGCTCGTTCGTCCAAGCTGCAAGCCACTTCCATCTGGCGCTTTTCCGGTGACGTATTCCTCCTGGGCGGTTTTGTAGCTAACTGTTAGGCATGGTTGAATTAACGGAAAACTAACTGTGAGTATACTGTATACTGTTAGTTGATGATAGGCTATAGTTTTAATGTTCATGAACAATTAGTAGATCTGGAGGAAAAATATGATGATCTATAAATAACTACATTAAATTAGCAGCTACTTTTTTAAATGTATAATTGTGGAAAGTAATAAGGTGTAACTTACTATGATCAGCAAAACGGAAGGTTATAAGATATTTTTGTGTCATAAGTTACAGTTGACATTAACTAACTATCCGGTTAGGAATGAACCAAGGTATGGTGGTATCAATTTTCCCTATCAAATGCGGAGCCAAGGAGCTACACATAACAGCTAATTTGTAGACATTGCGAACAAATGGACATAAATGGAAACCAGAAAAGACTCTCGCAAACCTCTTGTGTTCTCATGTGCAAAAGCGATTTTAGTGATCTTGGCTGGTTCACGTCTATTAAAGTATCATATGTTTGATTGAACAAAGTCAGGTCTGTTTTGCTCGCCAACCCCTACTTGCTGTTGTTTTTCATTTCCACTTTTGTGGCTCAAAATCATTCAAACACCTGGTGAAACTCCCAGTCTTGTGGACCTCTTTAAACTGTAAAGTAACGAAAAAAACATTTTTTATTATTATTAATATTGGTCTATATATATATACATATATATTATATATATATATATTCATTATATGTCGTTTCTGGTCATCATCCAGGGAAGTAAGACTGGAAAACAAAAAGAAACCGCCGACCACTCACATATTTACATTCGATTACTGGCCCATTGCACCCCTTTCTTGCTGGTGGATCTTCGTCTTTCCACGGAACACGGATAATTCAATCCATTTTTTTCCGCGAAATCTCCATGTTCACCTATTTTCTACAAATGCGTGCTCGATTTCAAATCACTAAGTCTCGAGTCTCGAGCCATCGTAATTGAGTTTAAATCGTCACCTTTGTTGGATTTATCAGTATTGGATACTGTAAACCCCAGAAAATCCGGAAATCGAGTTGACGAAATCAGGTTCCTGCATCCCTGGTGCCCATAAAACGCCACGCACCCCGGCACCGCTGGCCTTGCTGAGACAACCGTCACGCGACCGTGCCGCCCGGGGCGACCCTGCGATGACGGTGAGGAATTCACGGTAGGCGCTGAAGACGCTGTCCTGGGCATCCACTGGATGGCTGGGTGGGTTCAACATGGTTCAACCAGCTAAATGTTGAGTCAACTTCAAACTAGTGATAGTAACATGGATTTCAATTGATGGATTGACATGGAGAGCCAACTTGAATGGTCAATGTTAGCCAACTTTAACCATTGATGATTGATGATCTTACTTTAATTTAATGGATGTCAATGGTTGACATCCATTAACATTCGACAGGTCATATCGGGTTACCATATCCCACACCAAGAAGCCTGAGAGAGGAGTTCTCCCAGTTGGCCAGGGGCCATTAGCCAAGGAACGCCCTCAGAGGCCGAGAGACCGCGGGTTTTCCACAGCTTTGGGCCGCACTTGTCCTGGCAGAGCCATCAGCCGCTTGCTGTTGGCAAACCCTTTGGAGTATATTTTTTTTGGTGAATTTGAGACATAGTCCACCATTTTTTCCCATTTTCTTGGCAGTGGAACATTGTCTACATATTTAAAACCAACCAGTATGACCCCACGGCGCGAGAGATTCTCGACATTCTGAGACCTGAGGCCAAAAGCATCCTCACATTTTTTGTCCACAACAAGTGCCAATTTTTGTCCACAAGTGTTGCTGTTCACGATAAAGGCTGTCCGGCAAGAAGGGCCTGAAGCCTCACCCGCCCAAAACATTGAAGTGGATCTGCATCAAAACATATTAAACTGGCTAAGAAAACTGACCCTTCAACCTACCACCAGTCAGTCCGGCCTCAAATTCCTCGTAAGTGAGGTGATCTCTCGCCATGTCAAAGCGACCCTGTTCCTGAGGTGCTGGATGATCATCTTCCCCAAAGGGGAATAGAAATCAAGAAGCACTTGGGTATGGCTCACCGCTGGCAATGGGGGTACATCAAGACATCAAAGTGGTGCAAACTTCCATGTTGTGGATTCCGAGCTGACGTGGAAGTGTTCCGTGGGAGATGGAACGTCTTGCAAGCCTCTGACCCATTGATACCCATGCAAGTTCACCCAGCTCCCTCCAGTAATGACACATATATGATACTGTATCATATATGGCCATTACGAGAAGTTCCATCATTTCTAAACCATGTTCTTTCAAGAATGGGTCATGTGCTTAATCAGACCATTTTGCATTTCCAACTGGTCCTTTGTTTTAACATCATATGGTCTTCTCTTTTCTTCATGGGTGAAACCGTGACAAGTCGCAGGAACACTGTTCTCGAAGCGATCTTCGCCGCGCACGTTCACTGCTCCTCTGTTTCGTCCTCGGCATGGTAGTTTCAGCAGTGAGGTGCTATGAAAAGGATTGAAGAGGGGGATAGGAAGCTTTGTCCAAACAAATGGTGAAACTCATGGTGAAACTCATGGTCAACCTCCATTCGATTTTGGGGCGCCCCAACAATCAGAGAAAATGCCACTTTGCCGACGGCTTTGGACTCACATCTGACACGCAGGTTGGGCCTGCATCAGAACGGTTTCTTTCCTCCAAAATCATCCAAAATCACTGGATTGATTTATCAAAGGACATTTTACTACAGAAAAGCCATGGAAAGCCGCATGTTTCATGTGAAGAGAAAACATGTGTTCCTCTACATTTTCCCCTGCCACCCCTCTCTCCCCTTTGGGACTAAAAGCCCATCAGTATCCCATCAGTTTGACCCAGCCAAGCAACGCTGCAACGCTTGCGTCACGCGGCTGGTGCTCGGGTCCACTTGCCGAAAAAAGGCTTCGCCTCGTGAGATTTTCCCCCAAGAGTTTGGAGGATAAGCACAGAAACAAGTAAAATCACCAGCCAAATCCAGCTATGTGGTTGGAAAACTCGATTGCTCCTTGGCTGATCTGGGAAAACAATGGAAAACATGGATACCAAATGAATACCAAATGATACCAACATCAAACACTTCATGTATTTTCCAGTTTTTGAAAAACTCGTGGCTTCATAATCTCCAACTCATTCCGTGAGCTCTCTCCAGGTCGCCTTGGATCGACCGGTCCAGCATCAGCAACAAGGAATCCCAGCAGGTGATGACCTGTGGCACTGTGCATACCGGGGATGGTCACCATCCTGGAGGATTTCCATATAATCATATGTGTATATATATATATATGTTATACATGGGTATATCAATATATTGATCATCCTTATCATTGGATATATTATGATCGAATATTGATCAATATATTGACCAAATATGGATCAAATATTGATGAAAATCCGGCCCCGAATTCAATTGGGGGGATGACAATCCCTGATGGGAAAATCAAACATGGTACGTGTGGGATTTCACCTCTACTCACTACTCGGTATTCCGAGCGACATGGAAACACCGGAGTTGGCCTATAGTCAAGGGATCTCAAGCCCTTTAAAGAACCGGGGGGGGCAAACTCTACCGTTAAGAACCCCGCAGTTCCGACACAATCGAAGTGATAGTTGGGCCCAACAGGATTCCACCTTCAGAACGCGCAAAAAACATGTAAAAACCTACAGGATCTACAGAACTTATCAGAACTCCTCCATCATTCAGCGTTCACCACTCCCCATGATTCAGGTTAAATCCCAATGTTTGACGGTATCCGTTTTCTTGCTTAAATCCCCATCATTCCCTTTATTTTCATCATTGGACGGGTTTAAAAGAAAATCTAACAGGATAGCCCCATGTTTCCAAAAAACACGGTTTTACCGTTTTACCTGTAGATGTTTCCCTTAAACCAATCCATTGACGTTAAGAACAGGCTAAATTTGCAAATCCATGATGGTGACATCATTGACATCCTTATTCTTGGTGAAGTTCCCGTTACTCTCCCCAGTTCAACAGTAACATGTTGGACGCCACGGCACTGCCACTGCCAAGGCACCGGTGATTCGGACGGATCAAAGACGTCGTCTTCCAGGCTCTTCGGTGGTGGCCGAAACCTGGGATCTAATCTGCAACAAACCGCACAGTTCTTGATGCATGTCATCTATAGATAGATAGATAGATAGATAGATAGGTAGATAGATAGATAGATAAATAGATAGATAGATAGGTAGATAGATAGATATATATATATATACACATTCTCCCTCTATATGTATGTATATGTATGTATATAATTGTATATATATATATATATGCACATGGTGTGACATCCTCAAGCCCAGTGTCAGCATTGAAGTGGTTCTGGAGTGAAGATTGGTGAAGCCACAAGTCTTGAGACCCCCGAAAAATGCGAAAGTCAATGGGGATCATCCCATTTCTTCTCTTGATTTTGCTTGAGGACCCAGAAAATCGTGGATTTACTGTAGATCTCCTATAGAGTTCCCATATATTCTATATATTCCTATAGAATCCTATAGATTCAGCTTCCAGGCCTCGCTAAGTGACAAGCGACTGACGACGCTCCTCTTCCTTGACGACACCAAGTTCAATGCCTGGAGAAATCTGAGATATATCTGAGATCAGTTGGGTTTATCGTAGAGGGATCAATAACCAGCAACAACCAACAATCTGACTCCTTGCTCTTGTGCTCATTGTACCGAAGATTGCTGAATGTGTAAATTTTCATGCTGGTCACGACTGCTCCACACCTGTTAAACCACTGCTACCTGCATTCCAAGGCTCATCAAATCATCATAATCATAGCTGATCTATTGATTTGGATACCCCACACCAACCCTCCCCCAAAAAAATCACGCACTTTTGGGAAATGCTGTTCCCCCCATCAAATATAGCTCTTTGGCTCGCTCCCAACTACTCCGGAAAGAGGCCATGGCTAAGAAAACCGCGTGGCCCGCCACCAAAATTCCCATGGGAACTTCAACAATCGCCCGTGGTTGACCTTGTAGAAGTTGGTTCCCATTATATCCCATTAATTAATATTAATTATCTCAAATTTACTATCCAGAAGCCACTCACCACCAGCCATTTACCGTTTACCAGCCACGGGCTCTGAAGAGAGCCCATCCGACCTGCCAGGTCCTCCAAAGCCTGCGTGGATTCTGTGGAGCCTGGCCAAAGAACATGGCCATTGTTTGTTCGATGATTTACCCATGACACATGGTGAGGTGATTTGGTTTGGTCGATTTACCTATGATAAATGCTAATTTAACTATATTTATCATTATTTATCTATATCTTTGATTTAGTTTGTTGATTCACTATACCTATGAAACATGGTGATTTTCCAGTTCGTTCCGTTATTTTAGACCAAAGAGTAACAAAATATCACGGGAAATCTGTAATAATGATAAAAATCCGACAAGTCATAATGGTGAGGCACTTAACAACATGAAGGGTCTACCGGGGGGGTTTGCCCGGAATTTTAACATGTGGGGTGGGGTGGGGTGGGGTGGGGTGTGTCAACGTTGGTGTTCATGTGTACACATGGTACGCTGCTGGTGTGTTGATGTGTACACATGGTACGTGGGGTGGGGTGGGGTGTGTCAACGTTGGTGTCATGTGTACACATGGTACGTACACATGGTACGTGGTGTGTTGATGGTACACATGGTGCGCTGTGTGATCATGTGTACACATGGTACGCTGCTGGTGTGTTGATGTGTACACATGGTACGTGGGGTGGGGTGGGGTGTGTCAACGTTGGTGTTCATGTGTACACATGGTACGCTGCTGGTGTGTTGATGTGTACACATGGTACGCTGCTGGTGTGTTGATGTGTACACATGGTGCGCTGCTGGTGTGTTCATGTGTACACATGGTGCGCTGCTGGTGTGTTGATGTGTACACATGGTACGTGGGGTGGGGTGGGGTGTGTCAACGTTGGTGTTCATGTGTACACATGGTACGCTGCTGGTGTGTTGATGTGTACACATGGTACGTGGGGGGGGGGTGGGGTGGGGTGGGGTGTGTCAACGTTGGTGTTCATGTGTACACATGGTACGCTGCTGGTGTGTTGATGTGTACACATGGTACGCTGCTGGTGTGTTGATGTGTACACATGGTGCGCTGCTGGTGTGTTCATGTGTACACATGGTGCGCTGCTGGTGTGTTGATGTGTACACATGGTACGTGGGGTGGGGTGGGGTGTGTCAACGTTGGTGTTCATGTGTACACATGGTACGCTGCTGGTGTGTTGATGTGTACACATGGTACGTGGGGTGGGGTGGGGTGTGTCAACGTTGGTGTTCATGTGTGCACATGGTACGCTGCTGGTGTGTTGATGTGTACACATGGTACGCTGCTGGTGTGTTGATGTGTACACATGGTGCGCTGCTGGTGTGTTCATGTGTACACATGGTGCGCTGCATGTGTACGCTGCTGGTGTGTTCATGTGTGCACATGGTACGCTGCTGGTGTGTCATGTGCAAACGTATCACGCAATCGCAGTGTCATGTTTGATTGTCCATCGTTTCCTCATCTTGATTGGGTTCAATGTATTTCTTCTTGCCATGTGTCTCCTTTCTGTCTGACTCTTTCTCTTTACTTCTGGTGTATGTGATATATATATATATATGTATACTTCATGTCTGTCTATATATGTATGCAAATCGTGTCAAATGGAAACGCTGTAAATTACAGGTGATTGTTGATTTTTCCGCCAGATTTGGCGAAAAAAACTCAAGTTTGAACATTGTCAAAACATTCAATGATCAATTGCATCTGAAAAAAAGATATGAAGTCTACTTGTGAACAACCACATTTTATATGAAAAAAACACAGTAAAATCAACACCATGACTACAAGAACAACAAACGGCTGCGGATACTCATCACATGTAGTCACAGTCGACCTTGTTCCAAGCCGGGCAAACCCCCCCGGCGGAGCCAACATGAAGTAACTGAATGTAAGGGAAAATCAACAGTTGCAACCAGGGTTCTTACGAGCAAATATGAATTTTCCCGCAACACTTCCCATCATCCAAGTCTGGGCAATGGGGATATGACCACTTGTATAATGGTGAGGCACCACCTTCAGGCTTCTAGGCGAATACTATCATGTCACCAACCTGAATTCCAGCCAAGTCTGGGATGGATTGACTGTGACCTTCCAACTATACACCCCGGCTGATCAGTGGAAGCTGGAAGTGGAAAATCATCCTCTTTTAGATGGTCTTCCGGAAAAAAGGGCGTGGCCCGAGGGTTTAGTTGGAAGAAGGGCCATCATTTCAAAGTAACATCCACGTGCTTCCCTTGATTGAAAATACCAGTGGTAAATCCAATTGCTAATGATGTTTAACATATCGAACCCCACTGTATCAGCTGTTGGTTATCAAAAAACCATACCCAAGATTAAGAATACATTTTCTGGTCCTCCCCATTCTTGGTTGTCTGCGGGCAAAATCCTCATTTCTGCTGGTGAAATAAATACCTAGTTCAGTTGATGATTTCTGATTTTGTTGCTGCTAGAATGTTCATTGGTGCTTGTGAACTCTCCATTTCTGCCTGTGACATCTTGATTTCTGCTGGTGAATTCCATGTAATTGGCCATTGGTTGAGATCATATAGATCAATTCCTATAAATACATCGATCGGGGAATGAACATCCATAATTTCAAGCTATTTTGGGGTTCATCACAAATTTCCATGAAATCCGGTCAAATCCCATTAAATCACCATGAAATCCGATAAAATCCCATTAAATCGCCATGAAATCCGATAAAATCCCATTAAATCGCAATAAAACACCATTCGATCCCGTTAAATCACCATAAATCCCCACAAAATCCTCCCAAAACCAATGGTTAGTCCACCACTTTTACTGCTCCAAATCTCCACCATCTCCGCCCTGCAGAACCTCCTGCAGGTCCTGCTTGCATCTGTGCGAAGAGCTTGCGGATGGAGTCTGCCAGGACGGGGGAGCGCGTCACCAGCCTCGCGAATCTACGAAGGGGTGACGTGTAGCAGGAAATGCTACTTTTCTAAGTAGGGTTCATAGGATTGAACGGGGTTCTTTTGGTGAGTGATGAGAATTTGATGGGATTGATGTTCGATTTATGAGGAATTAATGGACTTTGTTTTTCTGATTAACCTGGTTTTAATGGTGAATACAACAGGGAAAGTAAGGGTTTTAATGAGAGTGTAATTGGTTACCCTGCAATTTTGCTAAACCATCAGTTTATTGCTCAATATCAATGCATAACAATATAATACATCTATATATATATAATATATAATTGATATGTATTATGATTGATTCCGCTAGTTTGGGGGTAACTAGCTGGATCAATAGTCAAGAACTTGTTTAATTCTGCGGGGTTGATATTACATACATTACAGTGCAATACCCAAACAAATAGAATTTAACTCACCATCAAATAACAGCTTTATCACCTTGGTGATGCAGAAGTCAGCTGTAGTTTGCCACCTTCTCACTGCAGTCAGGATCCATGTTATGCAATAGTTCATGTTTCTGCCACATCTATAAAGTTATAATCTAGAATTAATTACATATGCATATAATTACCCATTTCTTCACATTGCAAGTTTTTTTAAACATCTACCTCCTCATATCCTCTGTTTGTTCACATCACCATTATATCAAAATCGATCTGCCTATATCTGCCTATTCATCTGCCCATCTACCAATCTATTCACTTATACATAATTACATATATATATATATATACACACTCTGTATATATTATGTACATCAGTCAATCAATCCATCAATCAATCAATCCACCTATCAATCTCTCTCTCTCTCTCCCTCTCTCTCTCTCTCTCTCGCCCTCTCTCTCTCTCTCTATGTGTATCTCCTCCCCTTCAAGGCCAAGCAGCAAACTCAGCAACGCCTCGTCATCTCCACCACCTTCGCTTCGACGCTGCCGCTCTTGGCATGCCGCACCTCACCGAATAAACCGCTGTCCAACATGGCCAGGATTTCAATGGGAAAATCATGGGACAATAAAGGCAACATCCTCGATAAATGGACCTAAAAAAGCTGGGAAAATCAACTATAGATTAAAAAGTAGTAGTTCTTAGAACAAAGTTTTATTGGGAATAAATCAATATTCTTGGGGAAAAGTATACTGAGATCAATGGAACACTGGCCGGCTGCGTCATTATTTTGAGACAGCTTCAGGCTCGTGTTTCCTTAACGCAGCGGACTTAAAAAGTTGGCTTTGATTCCCATGACCCAAAGTGTCATCATCTTAACTCCCCAATCTCCATCTCTGGATCCCAAATGAGCGAATTTGGGACTTCCAGACTTCCAGTGAATTGTGATCATCCCCAATATATGATAAATATGCATAGATCTATATAGATTTATATATATATATAAAAAGGTGTGAGCCCAAACAATAGCTAAGTTGGTTTATGAGTTGGTTAATTGGGGTTTAGGGGGGGGCATAACTAATTAGTTGGGTGAAACTAAACCCACTTAGGTCCCGAGCGGAAGAGCGAATGCACCAGCACACTGGTCTTGCCACTTCCAGATCGACCCAGCAGAAACACTACCTGCCGCGCTATGGAAAAGCCATGACTAAGGGTTGGTGGTTAAGCCACCCCCTGAAAAATGTGCGAACGTCATTGGGGGAGCAAAACATCCCCTTTCTATTGTTGGAAAAAAGAAATAGCTGAACTATGTTGAAACCCTCAAGTTCACGTTCTAGTTAGTTAGTTGTATGCCAACCAGTTCGGGTGGCTAAAATTTGCCAACCAACACCCACATCAACCTTTCATCACTGGGAGCCCTGGCCTCATGGGCTGCTTTGTCGTATGCAACTTCCTCCTTAGGCAAAATGGAACCCCCTTCAAAAAGCTGGCAAGTGTCATGCCGTTTGGCTGGTGTGATACACACACACACATATATATATATATTACGATCACTAAGTACTATTCACTCATGTGATCTTATTAGGTTGGCCTATCAACTGCTTGGGGACTTGCAAGGAGTGTTGGGAACTCACGGTTACACAATATGGAGCTTCAGGTGCTCAGCAATGGGAACAAGGATGAAACAAAACCACAGTTCCAGTGCCAACAAAAAGAACAACAAGAGTTCGGCACCCCTCAGCAGGAACAAAAGAGAGAAAAAACGGCAACTGTCACCAACAGTTTCCTGATATTCACTTGGGATCATCCCTCAGATAAGGAACCACCATGAAAAAAAGGAAGCACCAACCACTTTTAGTACTAGCCCTATCTAGTTCGTTGATTTCCCCACAAAAACCTCCATTTTGATCGGGGATTTCCCCGCCACGATTGATGACAGAGGATAATGCCGCGGCTCATCGTTGTCGAGACTGTAAGGAAGCTGCACCTTAGACTGACGACTGCAAACCCTTAGATGATCATGACGATTTCTTCTCAAAATGAGGATCACCCTAGTGAGGAACTGGCTTACAACATCTTACCCCAATGAACCCCCCTATTGGGATCGATGCTGACCAAAATAGAATTTCGTTTAGTAACTTGTTGATCAGGAGATGGGATAATTGCCGAAGAATCATTCATTGCCTCCTATTTTACCGTGAGAGGCAATGATTACAAACCATACCCTATATATACCGAAAAAAGATGAAACAAGTGGTTCATCAATGTCTGTCATCGCTTTAAATCCGACCGAACCACACCCCAAAACATGTTTGCAAGGTCAAGCGGCGTGCTGCAGCGTGTGCCGCACTAGGAACTCCAGCTCGTGCCTAGGTGAAGGCCCTATCTTTTCGGAGCGGCCTAGCGGCCTAGACAAATTAAAATTGGGATATTTCCGGGATATAAAACTGACAAGGATATGACATTCCGTTCTCGCAGTGGTCCTCGGAGCAGCAGTGGCCTGTTCACAACTCAGCGTTTCCAGCATCCCCGATGCCACTGGGCTGTCCGAGCCTACGCATCACCTCAGCTGCAGGCCGGGCCCTCATATCTCAGACTTGGATGTCGGAACAAAAATGATTCCCGCTCCCCGTTATTGATCATACCATATATACTAGTTCTATCCCACTAATGGAACCATGGATCTCCAAGTGGCATAACGTTTTTCCAAGGAGACTGGCAAACCATCCTGCCAGCGGTGATTGGTTTGTTATGTTCCACTGATTCCACAGCTCCGATTTTTGTAGGCAAGTCACCTTCTAACCTGGGGTACCAGGCAAAGAAGGTAAATGTTCATCAGGAGGTCATATTTCTTTGTTCATTGAACCCACCAACTTACCATTGACCACGGCTTTGTATACAGCAAATGTTTCTCCATTTCATTTAGTCAAGCTTCGAATCGTTGTAGCAAATCACGAGCTTTGATACCGAGCAAAGTGATGATTAAGACTATATCAATAATGAAACCAGGCAGTGGTTTTAACCCATGCTAAACTATATGCTCGTCATCTCAACCAATCATTCATCTCAAGTATCGTTGAAAACAATAAAGTTGAAATCCACAACCAGTTGTGCTTCAGTTTTGTTTGCTAGAGTTCCTATGTGTTTTCCATGTATTTTCCCATTCCTGATTGTGAAGGCCCAATTTTGCCAGGGTAAATCCCATGATTCATTCATTTGTTCTTGCTTGAATCTTTTTGTTTGTCTTAAGTCACCATTCTTTATAGGTGAAATCCTGAATTCTGTTGGTGAAATCAACATGTTTCCTCGTTCAGTCACCATTTTTGATAGTTAAACCACCATGTTCATCCATGTTGAAGGTTCAACCACCATTTTTGATGGTTTTTCACCCCAACCCACAGATTTTCTCCAACCAACGTTGGAAAACCCGTCCTGTGCGTCGGAGCTATCAGGTTCCAAGACCTGGTTGATGGCCATTGAATGGAGTTTCAAGGTGTATTGTGTGCTGGTTTAATGGGATTCATTGGTGATTTAAGAGGATTTAAAGGTACATCCCATGGGATTTACATAAGGTAAATTCATCTACAATGAATTAATTCATCTACAATGAATTCGTGGTCTAAAGATGTTTCAGTTTGAGGGTAAATCTACAGGAAGCCATGGGTTTTTCCCTTCAGCTGCACCGGTCCGGCGGCCACGGCGGCCACGGCGCCTCCGCTCCGCCCGGCTGCTGCCGACGTCGCTCGAAACTCTCCGTGAAGTGCTTGGGCCTTTTGGGCAGCGGGACCCCCCGGGCCCCCGGGGCGCCAGGACCAAGGCGCCCCGTTGTTTTTGAGGGGTTGAATGTTGGGTCAAATGGGCAATTGTATTGACAACATATACAGAAATCCTGGAAATTGGGATAAATGTATATAAATGTTACATGTACAAACGTGGTACATTAATTGAACATCCTATCAAACATGTAGGTTCTTATGGGAGAATCATGTGTGATTAGTACCAACAAAATTATGGGAACATCATATGATGTTTGGAATTACTGTAACCATGCCAAATTGGGGTCAGTCAGATTCCAGATAAAATGTGTGATATATAAGTATTATGGCTGTAAAATAGTGGGGTTGGGAATGGTTAGGACAAATGTGGGTATCTAGCATACCAAGGTTTAACCCACCCTGTTTCTAGGTCGATATGCCAACAACAAAATGAACACTGATGTAACATACAAAAAATAGGAATACTATGATATCTTGTCTTTCTTTTGAATGTAGGGACTTTCAAGCCCAGCTAACAAGAGATGCGTTCAAGAGTCACCAATTCAATTGGATAATCTTTACGATTCTTTCCGTGGCAGGAAGAGGCTGACGGATTTGCCCAGAAATGGGATTTGTTGACGGTACAGGCTATGCCAATGGGATAATAACGATGAACCAGTACCATGTCCTTTTTTTGGCATCCCTTTTTGGATGCACCATAAGAAAACCCCTTGTCTCACGCTGTTGTATCCAACAGCAACAGCCACCTGAAGCCGATGTTCATTATATATATATATATATAATCTCGAAAATGGGATAAAATGGGTAACATTTATGAACGGATACATGGGGCATTTACAAAGCCTGATCCACAGACACACACACACACACATGCGGCTTTTGTATGCTTTGGTTAAGCCACAAAAAAAAGGAGATGCAGCCACTATATATAAATATAGTCATCGGTCAAGTTCTGATGAAAAGCAGCACCTATATACAGTATATCAATATATATCAATGTATATATCATATAAAAAAAATACATCATGTGGATTTCAGAAAGGATTTCACTGCTTCAGGCTGCATGGGACGATATCCACACTGAGGTTCAAGCAAAACGCGGCGTCCATCCTCCACCTGCGCACGGTCTCTGGAATTGTTCTGTTGGCTGCGGTGATAGGCTTTCGCGCCTGGCGATCCAAACATCGTGTCAAGCACTCATCCTTGGCTCAGCTGCTATCCAATGACCCCGGAAAAACCAAACCCTTCAGGGAACCAGCGGTTTTCCAATCAGATTCAAGGGCTTCCTGAGAATTCTACCTGAAACATCCTGAAACCAATTATTCAAGGAAATGAGATGCCAAACAAATATATGAAAACATGTGAAAACAAATTTTGCACAGGCTTCCGGAATGTTCCGGACATCTTCTCTATCAACCAAAAACGGAAATATAGTCGGACACATGTTGACCACAAACCACCCCCAAGCAGTTACGAATTTCAATGGTGACTCGATCCAGTGGGCTACTGATCATGTTGATCCAGCATACGACATCTCTGCCTTAAGCCCCTAGAAGTAGCAATCAAGCAAGTGCTTGAATTAGCCCAGCAAGTTGGCAAGGCAGCATGATCAGCTCTGGACCACTCAATGAACACTCAAGTCAAAGAAAATCAGGGCAATTCATGTCTTCCTTCATGATTTGTTTTTGTAAAACTTGTTTATCCGCACCTAAACCACCTGAATCCACTTCCCAGCCCAGCATCCGAGAAGGTGCGCAGA